CGGGCGCAGGTGGAGGGGGCAGATGGGGCGGCGGGCGGGCAGTGACCCTCACTCCTCACGCAGCTGCAGGCGGTAGCGGTGGTAGCGGACCTGGAAGAAGAGGCGCTCAGCCAGCGAGAGGGTCATGCCAGGCAGCACGTAGTGGTCACTCGCACCCATGTGTCTGAAGCCCAGTGACTCGTAGAGCTTGTGAGCTGCCACCTTGACAGCTGTGGTACCCAGCACCACTGCAGAGTAGTTGTGCACTACCGCGAACTCCAGCACCTTCCGGCCCAGTGCCTTGGCGATGCCCTTGCCACGGAAGCGGGAGTCCACAGACATGCGCAGCAGCTCCACTGTGTTGTCCTCCTCATGGGCACGTGCGGCCACAATGCCAACCACGTTACCGTCCAGCACAGCCACCCAGAAGCAGGAGCCTGTGGGGACAGGACAGTCAGGGACACACAGAAAGGCAGGCTGGGGAGCCTCCCCTGGAACAAGACGCTTGGTCTCAGCCAGGGCCCCTGCCCAGGACCAAACATGGGAAGGACCACAGGTGACCAAAGCCAGGCCCCAGATGCAGCCCGCCTGCCCCGGCTCCCAGCCCAGACTGCCACACTACTCCCACCTGTTCTGGGAACACCAGAACCCACCAGAGGACACTGCATTACCTACGGGGCGCCAGGGACAGCTGCAGGCACCTGGAGCCCCACTGATCCAGTCTCTCCTCTCAGGGAAACTGTGCCTACCCACAACACTGCCCAGACCAGCTGCTGACCAGGAGAGGGCCATTATGAGACTGGGAAGGCACAGGGCACTGGAAAACCTGGCCACCTCTGATGGCCAAAGGTGGAAGAGAAACACAGAGACCTCTCTGGAGGCTGAGGAGCAGCAGAGGGCAGGGCTGATCAGCCAAGGGTGCCCACTCCTTGGTCCTGGCCAGCACACCCTGCCCCTGCACAGCCCTCTCTAGCTTCCCTCGAGGGCCCAGATCCTCCCCAAAGGTCTGTGCTGCCCCCAGCCTCACGAAGGGGACACCACCTTATCCAGCACAGAACCTAAGCTCATGCAGCTATGGGGGTCACTAAGGGCCTCGATGGCCACTTCCACCAGCAGCAGAAGCAGCTACAGGGTCCCAGGAGGATCCCCCACCCCAAAGCCTCAGCAAGTCCCCTCCCTCCAGCCAGCCTCTCCCCACCTGGCAACCCAGGACTGAGGTCAACACTGAGTGGCCTTGAGCATACCTTGCTCCTCCCTCCCCAGGCCTCAGTTTCCCCATTTGCTTGAGCAACTCCCACAGATCTACACAGCTTAACAGCAGCTATCTAGCCTGTGCCCTGTGGAGTCTTTCTGTGGACATGGACGTCCCAGAAAGAGCACACAAGGACCACCCCCTGGAGCCATAAACCCCAAGAGTCCTGGCCCCACCAGGGACCTCCAGCTGTGCTGCACCCCACGACTGCTTCTATGTGGCGCTAACCTCTGCCCTGCAGAGCCAGGTAAGTGGGTGCTTTGTTTGGATGTGGGGAAAGTTTTGGAAAAAAGGGGCCCAAGGGGGCAGAAGCCGGCAGCCCAGAGCAAGGTACCCTTCCACACATGGAGCTGGCTTCTGCTCCTCAGCCCAGACACTCCAGCACCTGACAGGCCCTCACACCCCAAAGGACCAAGGCTCCTTTCTCCAGTTTTAGGGCCTCAGGGCCAGCCTTGGGGCAGAGAACAGTCCTGGGTCCCAGCCCCTCACTCAACAGAAGGCCACAGAGCCAGGGCAGACTCTTCACTGAGCAGCCTGGAAGCCAGGCCGATGCAGAGGCTGAGACTGAGACCAGGACCTCTGCTCCTGGGGTGTCGCCCCTCCTCTCTGTTACCTTTCCTTCCCCACAAGCTCCAGCTCCTGCAAGGCAGCACAGTCAGGGCCTCCCCTGCCCAGCGGGCCTGCGCTCAGCTGCTTGGCCCAGACCCAGCTCTGCCTCCCCCACCTAGCGACGCCCCACCTCGAAAGCCTCAGTCACTGCGGGGCCCAGGTCATCAAGACTCCCACCCCATGCCCACTCGGCCCTGGGGCAGAGGGAGGGGAGAAAAGGAGCTGCAGGTCCCAACTCACCAGGCGGCTTCATGTAGTACTGCTCAATGTCGGCCATGTCGGTGTGCAGCGCGCAGTCCAGGTACGCCAGGATCACCTTGCGGCTGTAGTAGTAGCGCAGGGCCAGCAGCCCCACCGGCACCAGGCAAGTCAGCAACAGCGAGCGGGTCGCGGCAAAGCAGAACGCTGCAGGCAAGGGGCACAGGTGAGTGGGAAGGGGCGGCGCTGCCGGCCTGGACCTGGGGTGGGCAAGACAGACCCTGGTCCTTGCAACACCCGAGCCACTTTGGCAGTCAGTGCTCAGGGGCATTCGCGGCAGAGACGACTCCGGCAGGAGCAGAGTCCGCCTCCGTGTCCCTTTGCTATGAGTCTCTATTTCGAAACTTCCTGCCACAAAGACACGCTACCTTCCTAACCTGAAATAAAGTGGGGACACAGCGGGAGAGGCTGCCCTGAATTGCTACTCCCCGGGCTGCCAGTGCCCGCCCCCGGGCGGTCCCCACCTGCTCCCACCCAATCTGACTTGGC